CAGCTGACGGGGCTCTTTGCTTGTTGGCGCCGCTCCTTCTCGAAGGGGCCCCGCTGGCGCAGCCATTCAGCGGCGCGGGCCATAAATGACCGTGTGGAACGGCGTGTTTTAGCACAACATTCTGAACAAAACAGCACAGGCTCTGGAGCGCGGCCAAAATGCCAGGAACGAAAGGTGAGCAAACATACGATAATAACGTCCACCAACGAGCAGCACGTGAGCTGCTCGTCCACTATTATTAACGCGAAGCGTCCACGTTTTCAGGTAACAAGTCGGACAAGAAGTCAACTACCAAGGTGGGAAAATGGTTACTACAGATCTGCGACATTGTCTTTTCCTGTTCTTTCTTCCCAAAACGTTCTCATGTCTTTGACGTTGCTTCCGCAGCAACCTCAAAGTCCTAAAGAGCAGCCGAAGAAAGGTGATCAGAAAGGAGATGACAACAAGAAGCAAGGAGGTAAGCATTTATAGGAAGCACTACGTGAGGCTGTAGCTGTAGAATATTTTCAAGAACGATCATTCTATCAATTAGTTCAACGAATAATCGAATGAACGTGTCTTTTGCATAATACTGGATAGAATATTTTCCCCACTACCGTTTGTTAACGGATTATTACCAAAGCAAATGCACAACAATGAAGCAATGTCACATGAGAGGAAGTGATGTTAGACCTTCTGATTCATGCAATACTGCCAATAATTATTATCTTTGTAATAGCTCGAACTGACATTTTCCCCCCCATCCATTCATTACAATTCAGCTACTGGTTTGGTCCGGAACATATCAAAAAATAGGGCAAAATGTTGATCCTTGTTTTCCAAAGTCAAAGTAGATGTTTGCAAATGTCTTAATGGAATGCCAACACGAAGACAGCGGAAATGGGAGAATATTTACTGTTGAGAAGCTGAAATCAGAGGATTCGGAATATTCTGAGTTAAAGAATGGCTCTAAAGCAGTGACTCCCAAAGTTCGGTACATGTACCGCGAGTGGTATGTGGGCTCTCTCTTGTCATATGCGAAAGAATGACTGAATTATATACAATTAAAATTCACAAACTTTCAAATATGAAGCAAAATGAAACAAAAAATGTAGCTCTCGAGCTTTGCAGCAGCTTCTTTAAATACTTTAAAATTCAGTTTTAAATTCAGTAGTTCCTAAAGTAGTTTTTTTTTTCCCAAAACTTTTATTCCATGTTTTGTTTCAAGTACTGTTTAGTTGTATTTAACTGAAGTACCTTAAATATGCTTTTTAGGATCAATACCTTAGGCTCTCTATTTTTTTGTCTGTGTTCTAATGCTAGCCATTGTGGTGGTAATTGGAGAGCGAAAAATATTTACGGCTGTGGTACTTGGGATAAAAAGTTTGAAAAAAAACAACCGCTCAAAATGATTCATCGGTATTCAAAGTAGTTGTTGATCAATTCATTTTTGCACCTGTACACCAACATGTTACTTGAGTCAAGTGCCCGGTGAAGCTATCTGTCGGTGTTACGTCCCCTCGCAGGACAGCCGAAGGGAGAGAAGCAGTAACTTCCAGGCGTTTGTGAAGATGGCACTGGAGACGCTGCTGGGCTCCTGCCGTCGCAAACATGGGGGTCCTCGGGGGAGGCAGGGGTGAGCCGAGCGCCCCACCCCTGAGCCGGACGGATTGTTGGGTGGCCTTCCAACACGACATTTGTTCTCACGGAGAATGAAAATCAATCAAATCTCAGCTGTCTCTCCCTCTCCCGTGTTTCCAACCTTTGTCTGTGCCCACACTGTCCACCCAACATGCTGGATGCCCGTCATCCAGTTAAAAAAAAAAAAAAAAAGGAAAAAGATAATTGCTCTGAGCAAGACCCCGGTATGTTCCCCTTTCCCAAATCATCCCCAGTATTGACTGTTCAACAGTCCATACATTTTTCTTGTAAATAATTATTCAAATAAACTATTTCTTACATGATTTTGAACTTGTGTGTGTTGTGTCTACTGTTTACTTTTTCTAGCAGGGGTCTGCAACCTGTGGCTCCAGAACCACATGTGGCTCTCTGTGACTTTGGAAAATAAACATTTAATTTGACATGCAATGTTAAAATGCAACTTTTTTTTTGTCACTCAAAATATGCATCACAAGCACCAGTGTGCGATGCCTGGTGCCAAGATTTATTAATTGACCATCGGGAGAAAACTTTGGATAAAGCCAAGAAAAAAAAAAGTTTCTGAAAACTTAACGTTTAATGCTACGCTCTAGCTGAAGTATATTAAAAGGAAAAATTGGTCTTGCTTCACAGATGAGCGCTGACATTCTTGTGTGAAAAGTGAAAAGAAAGGTGACGTCTATAGCCCTTTTGCTGTAAATTGAGGTTTGAAGAAAAAAATACATTAACCAGGTAAATGTTGTTATTGGTTATTATCTTGTATATTTCCAGTATAATATACATTCGTAAATTCAATAGTCCTTCTACCAAGCTTCCTTTTTAAGAGTTCAATATAAACTGCTCCAAAAAATAAAGGGACCACTTGGAGTTGCATCGTGTTGTTTAGGTGTTCCCTTTTTTGAAGCAGTATACAGTATATTGTTATGATGCTCCCTATAGCAGTTGACTTGATTCCACACTGCAGCTTTTTTTTAAATACAAAAAAACCCCAAAACAAAACGTAGTGTTATCACTACATGTCAAAAAGGGTTTTGTGGCTGCAGGTATGTTTGTGTGTGTGTGTGTGTGTGTGTGTGTGTGTGTGTGTGTGTGTGTGTGTGTGTGTGTGTGTGTGTGTGTGTTTTTCCTGTGGTTTGATGGCTAAAATGACTCAGAGTATTGAAGGTGTGTGTGTAATTTCAACAAACAGCACCTGACATTAAAACTGGTTTGATGTCAAATTTTATAAAAACAATTATCACAGGTGGATCAGTTCATTCACATTTACAGGAAAAATATTCTCATTGAAAATGTTTGCTGGAGTGAGCAGTGAACACACAGGGTTTTATTTTCATAGACAGCACATCTGCGGTGGGGTGCAAATGTCGGCAGATCCTGATTTTCCAATCAGCAAGTACAAGGCTCTCTCCACGTGGCTGCCAATTTGGCAGACCTGTTTGTGCCAAGCTGGCCTTTCCGGCACAGCAAGGGAGTGTCCTCTGAGATGTGGCTGGCAGAGTTCCAATTTGGTGGCAGAGAGCTGATCTAAAATTATGCCTGCTCAGACCATGTCAAAATACTGGCGCAAAGTAGACAACTGGTCCAAAGCCATTTTGGTGAATTTGATGCAGGCAGACAGATACTGAGCTCCACGGACATATTTGAGTCGTCAGCGGTTCTCACTAGCTCTCTCTGTATGCCCGCTGACATTGTCTGTTGCCACACCTCGGCTGGATCAGAACAATGCTCCGCTCAGGCTCGGATCGGTGGGATTACGCAACGTCTTCTTCCGCATAGATAGTCTCTATTCATTTCCCGCACATTTAAAGTGGAGGAGACGATTTGCTTTGAAATGGTGGTGACTTAAGTCAACTGTAAACACTCCCACAACGGTTCAGCCCTCCCTCTCACAGATCACCAAGGCCATGCTGGTCTGCGTCTAACCTGCATCCACATAGACTTCGGCCACAAACTGCGCAGGACCTATGCCATTCACAAAAATGGAACCCTGAATGCTCTAATCTAACACTTTGTCTGCACTTAGAATGCAACCCTTTGATGTCAGAACTACACAGGGGATGTCAAAGCAAGCGGGCATTTTTCAGGTGATCACTTGTAGTGCAAAGTCATTTGAATCAATGGTTAAGGAGAAGTACACAAGAAAACCAACCGTATAATTATTTCTTCAAAATGCAATGTCAAAATGAATTCTGAAACGCTTTACACAGTGTTGTGTACATTGCCATGTGCAATACCCTGATTCAAAACTTCGAATGTAATAGCTAAATCGTCAAAGGGAAACGAACATCAACTTTGTCCCACAAAATGCATTTGCTAGTTGACTTTCTAAATCTAAAAATTCCGAAAGGAAATAAGGTAGAACAATATGAAAATGATGATCAATTTGTTGTCCCGCGTCAATGTAATGACCAAGTATTACTGCTTGATTTACTTTTGCTATAAGTCATGAACATGAAGCGCGGGTCGACAATTTTTTCATTTTTGTCGAAAGAGTGATTATGACTTAACAGTCGAACAAGATACCGATGGGCACACTCGTTGTGGGCACAAAATGAAACTTGAAAGCGTTAACAGAGCATTTTGGTAACACTGCATCACAAATAAAGTGGTGTGCCCACATGTGCATCTCGATCTGTTGTTTTCTCTCAGGTGTGCTTGTTGATTGCAAAGATAATTTGAGGCCTGATTTTATTTTATTTTTTCTAATAGATCATTCCTCTCAGGCTCAACAGCTGATTGGAGAACACCTTCTTGGGCTTAGGACAACCTTAGGACAGCTACTGTGTAAAACAGGGGTGCCCATTACGTCGATCCTGATCTACCGGTAGATCTAGGACTCGTCCCAATTAGATCCGAAAGGTATAGAGGAGAAAAAAAAACATTTATGTGTCTTTGTAGAATGTTAGTAATATATTTTTGTGTTAATGCACACTGCACCCTAATCATCCTATCAGTCTCATTTTCCCAAAGAAATATTTTAAAAATAAAATAAAGCATATACATCTTTAACCTACGGTGGCGCGTGACTACGTCAGCGGAAGTTGTTAGCGCTCAGCAGTCTGCAATTGCAGCTTGTGATCAGAGCTGTTGCGCTATCTTTGATCGTCATTATTCTCATTCAGAGTTTGCTTCGTGTACAATTTATCGAGGGCACGGGCAAAGAATAGGAATCTAGAGGGCTGAGGGAAGCACTTTAAAACGGTACGTGTGAGCTACGATAGTCAACAGGCTGCAAAAGTGCATCGCTTGGTTCCGTGTTTTGCTTCTCATTATGGCGCGCGCGCGGTAAGGGGCGATCCGGGGAGGTTGGTTGAACGAAACGTAGATCTTCGGTCCAAAAAGTTTGGGCACCCCTGGTGTAAAACATAAAATATAGGATGGATAAAATAAATGTTTGAACATTATTATGTGCTTTGTTTGTCCTTTTGTAAACTCACCGTCTGGCACATGCTCGGCAATAGAGTGACGGTTTAAAAATATGTTTGCAAATAGGCTTAGTGTTCTTTACTGGGAACTATTGAAGATAAGGACATTGTGCAATATCCACTGATGGTCATCCTCATTTCAAGAACATATGTTGAGGAACCACTTGAGGTGAGGGGAAAGCGCATCTGCCGCAGAGATAACAGCTTAAGCCATCTCCGCCACGCTGATCGGTATTGATTGTGACTCGCAGGGAGACATCAGTAACTGCTGTCACAACATGAGCGAGCAGAAAAAAAGGAGGATGGCGTCCATAGAAAAGGAGGAAGGAGAGCGGTGAGGATATCAAAAGGAGTCCTCAGCAGGTAGGGCTGACACATATGAAGCAGACGCCAAACGAGGCCAACCTGGCGATCGACTGCTTCTCTGACAGTCACAGGGAAGAGAACCCTCATTATTGCTGCTTCTTTTGCCCTTTCTCCAATCTAGAGAACGAGGCGGTATACGATCCAGCATCCAAATGTGATCCAGTGACTTGTCCAGCTCAGCTCTGACCACTTCTGAATGGTATGATGGCTTGTGTCATCCTGTCAGAAGAACAGAAGAGCAAAAAAAAAAATCAAAAACTGTCCATCCATTCAGACATTTCCTGTAGATGAGCTTGCCCTTCGCCGTCCCATGCAGAGGATCTGAATAATGCAATTTCCTGTGGACCATGTGACTTGTGAATATTCCAATTTTTTTAGAGGGACAACAGGACTGAGTGAAAACCTCTGGACAAGATGAAAGTGTGAATTTAAAGTTCGGTTTAAATATATTTATTTTTATTTTTTCAGGAGGGAAAACCCACAAAATAGAACCGGGGTCCTATTCCATCATTTCTAGCTGCGGTATGCGGGCGGCCTGGGCCTGCTTTGAACACTCAAATTTTTTCAAAGTAAACACTTCGGGCCCCCGGGCGCGACACCCAGCCAAGGGCATCCCGGGGGCGGCCGAGAAGCAGGGGCTGGGACAGACGGTGGCTCGCCTCACGGCGGACCGTCAGCTCAGCCCGGTGGGCCAGTGTTTAGTGCGTAGACCTAGCAGTGCAGAGGTACCGGGTTCAATTCCAGCTCCGGCCTCCCTGTGTGGTGTTTGCATGTTCTCCCCGGGCCTGCGTGGGTTTTCTCCGGGTACTCGGGTTTCCTCCCACATTCCAAAAACATGCATGACAGGCTGATTGAACACTCTAAATTGTCCCTAGATGTAATTGTGAGCATGGATGGTTGTTCATCTCTGTGTGCCCTTGGATTAGCTGGCAACCGGTTCAGGGTGTGCCCCACCTACTGCCTGAAGACGGATGGGATAGGCTCCAGCAGCCCTCGCGACCCTTGTGAGGATAAGCGGATCAGAAAATGGATGGATGGATGGATTTTTATGTATAAGAAATTAAACTTAATGTATAGTTGGAATAATAACACATAATGACATCATGTGTTACAATATATAACATTTCTAAAGGAACATTTTAGGAAGTGGGACAGGAAATAAATGCTTTGCAGTCTCCTAAATTGCATTTATTAAATATGCAATCAGATCAATATACAGTCAACTTTGTTTGATTAAAACCAACAATTTTATCGTTAATTCTGCGGTGTCTTTTAACCCAACTTTATTTCCTGGGGACGCTTAAATGTCAGCGATTGGGTGGCATGGCCCAATTACATTCAAATAGATGACGAGCTCACCTCATCTTCTTCCATGTAGTCCACGCTGGAATTGAACACTGAACCCAGGTACGTCAGATGGACTATTGCCAGGGTGCTGAATGCTACATTGATCATGTACACCCAAAGCGCCTGAAGAGGAAGAGGCAACAACGGAAGCATCGTGTCAGAGCAATGTGTGTGTGTGTGAATGTATGTGTGTATATATATATATATATATATATATATATATATATATCACACACACACACACACATACACATATTTATTTACATAGTGCTTTCATAACAGCTGCATCTATAACAAAGGGCATTACAGAACATTTAACATAGAATCATACAACAGAACACACAACATAAAACTTCCAACAGTAATACGATCTATATTTAATGCCTGTTGTGCTTCCATGCAGGAAGCTTTGTGTTTGCAGAGATCATTCTTCTCCCTTCCTGCTGCTCAGGATTTGTCTAACTCTAAGCAATCCTGCATAACAGCTTTTTTTTCCTCCCTCGGCATCCTGCCAGACACACTAAATTCTACATTATATCACTTGACAAGGCCCGGCAGACCGTTGAGGCTGCCGCATTTAAACCGCTGCAGATGGAGTTTGCTTGAGAATGAAAGCACAAACATTCCTACATTAGTTCTGATGGAAGATTCCTTTTTCATCCCTTTTTCATGTCATTCCAAGTGAAAAAAACGTTTTTTTTTTTTTGTTTTTTTTTGGGCGCATAACCATCACTATCTTACAGCCCAAATTCTTTAAGGTAAGTCCAAATGAATAATTAATACAGTGAAGATGATGGTACATTCAACATTGATTAAACTTTGCAGCTTGTACCAGGATTTCTGACATGCTTACAAATGATGCTGCAACTTCAACTGAAAGTGACACCAACACCACTTAATCCCCAACAAACTACTCGAATGATTACAATTTGTTGAATTGATACATCTTTGATGATGACAATGTTTCCTCCCATTTCCTCCCACATTCCAGAAACTAAGCATTAAAAAAAAATCACCTTGTATATTTAAAACAACCATATCACTCTGCCATCTTAATGCTCATACTAACATGGAATGGAAAACGCTTCTCCTGCTAATATCTATGAGGCGGTGTTGTCAGCCTTCAAGCAATTTGAACCCCAAAAGGTGCAGCAACACATGTAAACAGCTAATACAACAATATTCAAGGGCATATATTCTGTATTTCTGTGATGAACGACGAACATTATGGCTGAAGGGTTGTGACCTCTGTCTCCATGTACTGTATATCCGCAAATGTGTACAATACTGCCCTCAGGTGGTCTTTTTACATTATTATTTTTAATTCCATTTAATGATGTCTTCCTTAATGTTTTTATAAAGTACGAAAATATTTTGGAGTGCTATCTTCCTGATCAGAAAACATAACGACAATTTCGTTTTACTGGGAAGGCTGTAGCGGATTATTGGCAGTATCATTAATTTCAACAAAGAAAGAGTTTCTGAGATCTCAGTCTTTTGAGAAACAAGCGTGGTCACACAACAAATTTGACTTGTATCTCAAGGTCCCACTGTACTATTATCGTCCTTTCAAAAATTGTATCGAGACATTAATAAAGTTCAAAAAGGTTTAAACATACAAGTTATCGGATAAAACTGGTTCATTTTTTTTTCAGATTTTTTTTTTTAATATCTGAAAAATCTAATATATATTTCTTATTCCTATTCCTATTAGTGTTTAATAGTATTTCCTCTAAACCTGGAGATCTGATGAAAACACAAGTAGACATCGGTGAGACAGACTGATACTAACAGTGTGTACCTGCAATCAGGTCAATCGTTATGGATAAAGGACAAAAGGAAAAAAAAAGTAACCCAAAAGTAACAGTCAGACATGTCTAACAAAGGTCCAGCAGTGAGCTCAGGAAGGATGCAAGACTCAGCAAACTGTTCATGCACGGTAATCAAAGATCCACAGAGAAAAAACAATAGAGAAAAAAAAAGCGACGGGTGCTTCACCTTTTTGTTCTGGTGGGTGCAGTTTGGCGGACATTTCTTGGACAGAACACAGGCATTGAACATGGCTGCCAGTCTCTTCCGCAGCACTGACACAAAAAAAAAAAAAAAACAGACAAAGGCCGAGACATTAACATAGCTTCCTCCCAGCGAGGTGCATAGAAATGGAGCGTGATGGCCATTACTACAAAGCTAAGTGTGGAAAAGCCATGTTAGAGCAGAAGTGTCGAACTCGTTTGAGCTCTGGGGCCACATTCAGTCCAATTTATTCTCAAGTGGGCCAGACCACTTGGTTTATTTGTGACCAAATAAGCTATAAATAAAGAACACGCCAAAATATTCTCATTATTTTGATGCTAATAATTGCATGCACACTTGGAAAAAATTCACATTTATTGATTATTCCCTTGTTGCAAATCTCAAATCATTTGAGGAATCAGAGGTGTGCAATTTCAACAATATTAGAAATCAGTTTTTCATGGATGCAGATCAACATTGGATCTGTTGACTGTATGCACTTTTTATATATACGGACATGATACGGTCTGGAAATCATTTTAAATGTGCATCCATGTCCGCATCCATCTGGAAATGTTGACATCCTCAACTGACCCATCACACCATACAAACTCAAAGGCGAACGATTAAGAAAGGGGTTGTCCTCTGCCTTGAGTATTGCACAAATACTGTACAGAGTTGGGGGTCCACAAAACCGAGCTCTTTTGAGCTGAAGCTGTGGACTGATCTTTTGCAGTATTCAAACTCTTCAAATATTTCTCCAGGAGGTATTCGTTTGCTCAGAATTGCATCCTTCACAATTTCCGAGAGTCATTTAGAAAGTGGTCAGTGGTCGTTGGAGTAGTTGTCAGTGTGCTATAGAGTGGACAAAATAATATCAACAGTTACGTTTATCGAAAGACTGCAGTTCATGTGTTCTATCGCCACGGGCTGTATTGCAGTCCGTGATGACCCGGTTCAGGCCAGCGGGCCTTACGTTTGACGCATTTGCGCAGGAAAGACTCTCACCGTGCTCAGTGTAGGTGATGAAGCCAAGAGACACGAGCACGGCACCCAGATGGAAACTCAAACCCTATCAGACACAACCAAAAGTCAACTTGTTACTCAGATCTTTAGGAAGGCAGCGTGCAGTGGGACTGCTTTGTTACTCACGTGCAGAAGGGCACTGGCTGCGTATGTCAGCATGACGGCAGAGAAAGTCCCAAATTTGAGAGCACTCTGAAATACATCTACAAAAGACAAATCCCTGTTTTTTTTCCAGCCTTACATGCAGTAGAAAATACAGATATAAACGCTTTAAGGTAGCAATGAACTCAAGTTCATCACTTCACCACAAGCAGCAGTTTGGCAAATATTCAAAAAAGAGGTTTCAAGCTGTTAATGGCAACATCATAAGAATTCCCCAAAATGAGAAAAACGCCACCGCAATGAATTTATCATGATGCATAAACTGTTCAATTCTTTTCATTCCATCTACCCGGTAATTATTTTACAAATATGTTTTAAAAAACTAAAATATTAGAGAGTGTTATTTTCCTTATTAAAAACCACAAAAACTCAAACACATTTTTGGTGTTTTTTTGGGGGGATAAACTGGAATAGATTAATGGCATTTCTAATCAGTCCTTTGTGTTTGCGGACTTTTACTGGTGTATCTCAAGACATCAGCGCATGAACATTCCAACTCACAGGTGTGCAGAAAGCGTGACATAGGCAGATTCCACGAGGTGACCACCTCCACCATCGAGCGAGGAAACTCGATGTTCAGCGGCTTGGACACCGTCAGATCCCTACGAAACACAGGCGTCTTTTAATGTGCGGGAAATGCGCGCCACGCTGCCCGCTGCGACGCTTTCAATTTACGGACCATTTGATGTTGTCTTTCTCCTCTGTGAAGCCGGCTCCGGCCAGAATGGTTGTGGTCTCGCTCAAATAAGCAACAAAATAGTTGCTAAAGTGGAAAGACACCGTGTTCTCATAAGCCAACAACCACCTGGGCCAAAAAAAAGGACATATTATGGTTTTAGTCTCACTTCCAATCTCACTGAAAAGTATCATCCCTGTCAACTGAGAAAACTTCCTTGGTCTTAAACATCTCCAAAGAGAGCATACGTGTAGAAAATGCAATGCAGCTAGCATCTAACCAAAAGTGCAAATGTAGCCATATTGGCAGGTACAATAAGTGTTTATGAACGTACAAAAAGGTAGAACAGGGGTCACCAACCTGTTTCAAACTGAGACCTGCTTATTGGGTCCTGGTTAATTCGAAGGGCTACGAGTTTGAATTATGCTTCCGAAATGTGTTCAAATTACCTTTAATAATGTTGATTTTTGTTATTGTTATATATTATTACTAATAATTAATGGTATTCATTCACATCGATCATGTTCCTCACAATAAAGATAAATAATAATTTTTCTATGAAACTCTGCCAACGTTCACATTTTTGAACAATCCTAGATAACCACAATGCCCAATCCCTGCTACGGTATTTTCAGAATAGGAGCACAGGCTACTCATGTGATCCTTGGGGGCTACCTGGTGTCTGTGGACACCATTTTGCTGATCCGCACTGAAGGACAGAGCAATCCTCACAGCGATTGTACAGTTAAAGCAGTGCAATACACTTATCTAGGATGAATACAGGATATGAACAATATGAAGCATGTAAGGCCCGCAGCACACTGAGTGATGCTGCCAAATGTGACTAAAGTGGATCACTGCAAAGATGTGGAAATGTGAGGATAAGGCAAGAGTATGATATTTTGAGAGGCTAATGGCAATGTTCGATCGGTCCATTCAGTGACAGCAGCCGCACATTATGGCGACAGAGACTCTCCACGCTTTGATTTTGAGCCACAGGTACATACCGTATATAATTACTGTATATCCTTCAAGTCGGTGATTCTCGAAGTGTGGTAAAAGTACCACTGGTGGTACTTGGTCTCCCTCTATTGGTAGGTAAAGTAATCACTGAATTAAATAATGAAATTGCATCTTACAGTGGCTTAAACTTTGTTTTCAGCCATCACAGTGCATTTTTTAAATACACTTCAGTTGTATTTAATTTTAGGAACTTTTTGTTTTCAAACATTTTGGTGCTACTCAAGAAATGAGAAAACTAATATTGTGTCAGTATTTTTCCGCTATCTCTCTAAGGGCAATGTTCAAACTACATGATGTTTCAGTGGCTTACAAAATTATTACATTTACTTTTGATGAATATACATTACAGTGATCCCTCGCTACTTCGCGGTTCGTTTATTGCAGGTTCAGTGCATCGCGGATTTTTTCAAACATTAAAAAAAATAAATAAATAATAATAATAATAATATACATGGAGTACAGTACTGTATATGTTGCTCGATGTGACTCGCTGTTGTTTTGCAGCTTCTCGCGGACCGTTTGCGGACTTAAAAAAAAAACATTTTTTTCTTTTTACCTGTTTATGTTAATTGGACGCTCCTTCGCGGATTTTCGTTTATCGCGGGTGGCTTTGGTCCCCATTAACCGCGATTAACAAGGGATTACTGTACTGTATTTCAATTTTGATCATTCTAAATAGGATGAATGTAATGCAACAAGTACAGTCGTTGTCGTGGTATCGGGCAGTGTGGAAATGCACAATCCAACGACATACTTACGTTGCCAGTGAACCTCTGAGCAGAAATAGAACAAGAGAGAAGGTTATCGTTTTTAGCAAACGGTGTAGCAAAAACCAAGTATGCATTCCCGTGAAAGTTCACGTTCATCGATAATAAATCACCTGATTTTCCTTCTCTTTTTGCTGTGAAAACACACAAGGTAAACAGATGTGTGATGATATTAAACTACAAACAAGAGTGCAAACCCACATGCCTCTGTATCCCATTCACCTCCTTAGCAGCTTGTCTCCATAGACAGGAATGAAATAGGGGAAGAGGTAAGGTGCCACACAGTTGGAGAGAACCAGGCAGACCTGACTCTTAACCCAGCTTAAAGACACTTTGAACAACCAAGACAGGCTCTGAGGATTAAAAGAAAAAGATACTGAATACATCATTTGCATTCCTACTGAGCGGATATTGTATCGCTCATACCATCTTCCGTCCGTCTAAAGCCTCTTTGTAGCTATTGAAACTGATCCACGGTCCGAAGATGACTGTTCCCACGTAATAAATGTAACCCATGAATTCGATGGGAGAGGGTACGCCGGTCACGACGCCTCTGTCCAGATCGAAGGCCAGAGAGATGGCTTTCATGGCCACCACCATCTGTGAACCTGGGCAAGTGCGGCAACACTTGGAACGAGCCTTGAATAATCAACGCAAAAAAGGACGGCTGCGCGGCTTACCTCTCATCTTGTGCCAGTTGGTGCTGTCCATCATGTGCAGTTCTCTGGCCAAATCAAGCACAACGCGGCTCGGTTTGAACGGGGGGTGATTTACTGAAACTGCTCATTATACCACTGCAATATTATATTAGGAAGAATTTACACTAAGCAAATGTTAATTATTCACGAGGCATGGGCCAGTTATCGGTTTCAAGGTATACAAGGTTTCAAAGGGAAACTAAACACAAAACTGGCTTGTCCATATGGTCTGTTGCAAACTTCAAAATGTGATTGTTGTGCTGAGGCTGGAATAGAGGATGAAGACCATGTTTGTGCAAGCATCTCTTACAAGTGGAATAGTGTACCAGAACTCCAGTGTCTGCCAGAACTTCCTAAAGGGATTGTGCAGTCAAATGTGGGTTTTGACTTGCTTTTCTCAGAATCCTGCAGGCTGTTCTCATCTGACACTATTCTTGGTTATTGCTTTAACTTCCATTGTTCCTGATGACTGCCGTTTTTTAATTAGATTCCGAACACAGGATATTGGCATTTGAAAAAACGTTGCTATCTTCTTACAGCCTTTCTACAGCTTTGCGAGGATCAACTATTTTCTGGTTCAGTGTTCTAGTCAACTGCTTAGAAGAAACAGTGACGCTGATTGTTGAGGCAAGGTCAAAAGATACTGGGCATTTAAAACCTTTGACATTGACATCATCTGGTCTTCCCAGATGATTGTAAACAATCAATGACACCGTCAGGTGAGGTCTTCGCTTTCCAAAGGGGGCGGTGTGTGCTACAAACTCTCCAGGGTGCCCAAACTTTTGCAGATGCCATTATTTTGTTTTCTGTTATTTTGAAGGTGGAAATGAAATAAAATCGAAGTTTTTGCTGACATCTTATCAGAAGTCTCATCAGTAATTTGATGCTTTTTGGAGAGTTTTCCATCTTTCCTTGGCTTCTTTATGCAGATTAATTTTTGGGGGGGTGTTCAAACTATCGCTCCCCACTGTATATACATCTTACTGTGTATATATAATGTCATGTTCCGTAAATGACAGCAGGTGGCAGGCGTTTCATTTCTGCTGCCTACACACCTGCTGCCTATTTGTCAATTATGACACCTGCTATATCTAAGCACTCCGGCTTTCGACTCATCGCCGGAGTATTCAATGCCGTGCCACTGCTGTTGCCCATGTATTGATAAAGCGCTACTCATGCTCTATTGATGATTCTTACATTTTCCGACGTCTCCCTGTGAACATTCTAATTGTGTGTGTATTCTAGTATTTGCCGAATCATTTTCCTTGCCGTTTTTTGCAAGTGCTTTTCGTTGACGCGTTTATATCATTTCCTGGTTATCGTTATTTACCAGCGTTTTCTGTTGTCTATTTAGACGGAGTTTTTGTTAATAATAAATATTATTTTTTTGTGACGAAGTCCTTGTCAGTGTCTGCTATTTCGGGGATCCACTTATTCTCGTTTTCCTGTTACATACGAAGCGGTTCCTTTTCCGCTTTGTGTGTAACGTGACATATAAAGGTCATCAACTGACCGAAACGAAGCAGAGGTGGATTTTTTTTCTTTTCCAAACTGCAGCCTTTGTGATTTGAAAATTGCATTCGACAACATTGTGATGTTTAATTTGATTAATTGTTCATTACTGTCAACTGCCAAGTACGTCAAACGCCATTGATGTTCTTACCCCAGCATCAGATAGATGAGCACAGTTATAGAGAGAAAAGTGCCTCGCATGGTCGAGTGGCGACACAGGAAGAGGAAAAGGTAGCAAAGCAGACTCAGGAGGACCACCCAGATCATGTGCAGTTCAAAGAACAGGTAGAGGATGTAGAATCCTCCTGCCACTGTGGCCAGATGCTTCAAAACGGAGGGGAAGCCTGCCACAGAAAAGGAGAATGAGGTGAAAGTGACCACCTGGGGTATGCCGGGACTGAAGGGACACAAAAATACTCACTCAACATCCAGAGGAAGCGACACAGCAGGCATATTACCAGCAGCTGCCACACCTGCTCCAGGCCCTGGTGGGCTGTCGGTAGCAGACAGCCGTGAGTGAGCTCTTGGAAGAACTGGCGGCGGCTGAACGTGCCCATCGCTGCCAATCTGAAATGGCAAAGGGCTGCTCAAATATCATACAGTCAACGCCTGCAGGTTCCTTTCTTCCCTCCAATTTTGGTGCTGTAGATTGCGAATTTCTCCATTGTGAGACAAATGAAGATTTTCTTGTTCTTATTATTCTTATTCACCAATTCCACATACAAGGAGGGCTGCAGCTATCCAATATTTTATTTATCAAGTATCCGATTGAAATTTCCATCACATTGTGTGGGAGCTTGACCAACAAACAGTTCTAACAGCATAAAACTGATTTAAGAAGTTCAAAGAAACAAGCAAGATTTTTGGGGCACCTTGTGATATCTACTTATCAATTTCATGTTACTGATTCTGACTAAAAACAAACGACAGAGTCTGTGAATTTTTTTTTTTTACAAATCATACAAGTAGTCCCCAACAGTTTGTTTACAGATACAACATTCATAATTAATAAAATCTCTTCAAATTTTGCATCTAATGAAGACTGTATTCTGCGCACATCCGTGGCGTTATGGCGTGTTAACAAAGGCTAACTGCCAATGTGGCCGTGAAAGAAAATATTAATCCTTCCGGCACGGTACCATGACACAGATGTGACATACCCAAATGGGTTACTTGAACGCCTCAGTGTGCAGCGAGTGCAGGGCACGTTGTGGCTCCGCAATGCAGTGGACCGTCGGGACGAGTTGACTCACAAATTCTCGCGAGCGACCTCCGCGAACGCAACACAAACAAGAGGACGTCGAAAAAACGTCGCCCGTCACCCACAGCGCAATGTGATAATTATCGTCAGAACCTGGAGAAGTCCGGGCTAACCTTTCACCAACCACTGGGTAGGATTTATACTTCAGCGTCGACCCCCACAGAGCCCCACACGCAAATAGCTGCTACTGTGTCGCCGTGCGGTCCTCAGTTTGTGTACCAAAAAGGAGCTTACCCTTCGTTGAGCAGCAGCCGCGGACTCCTTCCTGCTTTCCCGCCGGTTTAGAGTCACTTTGCCACGCGTGTTTTACTGTCCACTCGGTCCAGATGATGCTGAGAATTCGATGACGCGCAGCATCAGAACCAAAAGCCGTTCAAGGCAGCCACGGGAAGACGCGTGCACCAATCGGTGAGCTGGCCTGCGAGTGGTGGCCAATCAGGACAGCGAGTGACAGCTTTCTTAGCCAATCATATGTCGCGCGCAAGCATCCATGGCTCCTTTCCACCAATAGAATGCGGACAGAGTGCAGCGAGCTCAGGAAACGCTCATCTGGCTGTGGCAACTGTGGCCAAATACACCATGAAATTACCTTTACAAGAGAAACGTGGTTCATACACATAACCATAACCTTTCATTTTCCAAATTAAGTGGGTAACCATTAGAATCATGATGCTGTAGTGTAGGTCTACACAGTTGGAAATTACAAAAATCCAATAATGATACATCCATCCATTTTCTAGAGGTCTCATCCTATCTAGGAAGACGAGTGACCCTAATCTTGTTTACATTTTGTCATTTCTGCAAAAGTATTCAAACCCCGACCACTGGGCAGCGGCAGCAAACTTCAACCCATGAGGTCACCGTCAAGTCATAATGGTTTATTTGCAGTGGAAGGAAAATATCAGTTGGTGGCGCTAAAGTACTATTAAGTTGGTTTGCCAACTGACAATAAACCGCACAGAAGAAAAAGAACATTGACATGACATTAGCCATGTCTTGTGCTTGCATTTTTCATTGGAAGGTGTGTCAGTAAGACAGTAAAATAATGCTGATAGCAAATTTATTTATTAACAAACGTTATTTAATAAAAAGGAATTGTTGGTGTTTTAGGGGGACTGGAAAGATCGTTTCAGTGTTTTTAAGATACTAGCTTGGTGGCAGAACGAATTCCACAAATTCTCAAGGCAGCATTCATTGTACTAGTGACTCCTGACTGTGTAAATGACTGATGTTCATTTTTGAACATCCCCCAAAGATTCATGTAAATTTACACCCATGTTAGTCAAGAAGTCAATTTACAATGACAGCTTCAACTGACATAAGATGCCAAAGATTATTCAAAAACACCCTGGAAACGTTTGTTTGGAAAGGGTTGTAAAACTGCAAATTGAATCGACAACTAATTGATTATCAAATTGAAAACTATATTGACAATTGCTTAGTCGTTTGGAGATATTGTTTGTATCAAATTTTCTATTATTAAAATAAATGTGACAGTGGGTTCACAATACAGCGGTCCAGGTTCGATACCAGGCGCCGACCTTCCTGTGTGGAGTTTGTGTGTTCTCCCCATGCCTGCGTGGGTTTTCTCTGGATGCTCCGGTTTCCTCGCACGTTCCAAAAACGTGTGGCAGGCTTATGGAACACTCTAAATTGTCCCTAGGTGTTGTTGTGAGTGTAAACGGTTGTTTGTCTCTGTGTGTCTTGTGATTGGCTGGCAACCAGTTCAGGGTGTCCCCCGCTGGTTGCCCGAACACAGCTGGGAGAGGCTCCAGCACGCCTGCGACCCCACTCACAATCACACCTACAGACAATTTAAGAGTGATCAATTAACTTACCGCCCATGTTTTGGAATGTGGAAGAAAACCGGAGTACAGGAGAACGGAGAAAACCCACGCAAGCACGGCGAGAACATGCAAACTCCACACAGGAAGATGGGAGCCCGGAATCGAAACCTGCACCTCTGTACTCTGATGCGGATGTGCGAACCAGTCAAGCACGGGTCTACCCTACATTAAGTAGTAATGAAACCTAATTGCAGCAACTACTTATTAGGAGGGCATTGAAAAGAGGAAAAAGAAGTAAAAACTAATTTTATTTCCAATTATTTATTAGAACTGGGTAATACTTGCCATTACCAAGGGGGAATACAGCCTTTGTCCAAACATAAAAGGCAGAATCTTTCAGATTAAGATTCAGTTTGTGTCAATGCCAGATGACGAACCAGAATTATGAGCGGTCAGTCACATCAATTTAAAGTAGCAGCATTAAAATATACTTGTTGTGTATTGTTGACGTTTCTCCGGAACAGTCCAGTAAATTTAGTTAAATTTTGGTTAGAGAACAATCTGCAGGTCATAGGCAGTTGGTTCCTTTACTTCTGGTTCCTCATTTGGCTCCTCATTTGACACGTCTGAAGCGGAATCCGAGAACGTCTCCGGTGGCTCCTTTTTAACATCAATCTCATTCGAGACATCGTTTCCCTTGCTCAAAATATACTCGTAGTTTCTTTGAACCTCGAAAAATGCTGAGGTGAGGCACTGTGGCGAAAACATCCTTAGTGCTGGGGGCAACTTTGGCGGAGCATGCATGACAACTTCAGATTTCTCAACTTTTTGTGGCTCGGGAGCTGCGACGTCGGAGCGTTTGGCTTCGCGACGAATGGGAACAGAAGGAGGGGGGGCCATCTCAGGTAAAAGTTGCTGTTCCGTGCCAGAGGCTGACGCTTGGGGTTCGCAATTTTGATCAACTGAGTCTCTTAGCATGGGGATGAAAGCCCAGGAGGTGTGGAAGTCTTCGAGCTGTTCCACAACCTCACCCGGTTCAAGTTCATAATCCGACTCGGTGACGGGAAGAACGTCGTCGCACTCGCTCGCGATGACCGGCTGAGCCACCAAGAGTGCGCGTCTGTGAAGCTGACAGAACAGCACGCCGCACGTCTGACACTTCCTGACGTCTCTGACATGGAGCAGTTTGTGGCGCTTTAAGTGGTGGCGGTCGCCGAACACTCGATCGCAAATGTTGCACGGAAAGGTAGGCTCGTCACGCTCCGTCAAGACTCCGGCGGGGATCTTCTCTTGAGTGTCGCCGGCGGAAGGAGACCTCTGTCCTTCGTGCTGAAGTTTATGTTTGACCAACTGCGCAACAGTGGAGAAGTTTTCACTGCACAGCTCACACAGATAAGCGCCCGATGGAGCGACGATGTGCTTGAGAAGCACCACAGGGCTGGTTTTTCCCAGTTTCAAGAAGGGAGGTGGAGTTTTCTCAAAAGAGGCGGAGGGGGTTTCTTTCATTTCGGTGTCACTCGTGGTCTCCTTGGTCGATGTGTCTTCTGTCTGCAAAACACACAAAGGAATTACTGAGGACAAAAGATGGGGCTTCTTATCAAGCAGTTTCAGACCTCTTTTGAAAAGGCTCTAATAATGTACAATGGTGACTTTAGAGATGTGTTTAATTTGCTCCGTGATCACGCTCGTAATTCAACGCACTCATAACTCCAAATATCTTTCCCCATTAGAATGAATGGAAATAATTAGACTTGAATGTCACTTTATTATTTAATTTAGAAGTAATTTAGTAATATTTTCCTCAAACCAATTTAGCCGCATATGCACCGAAATGTAATCTCTGTGACTTCAGGAGTATTTGGGAGCTAAAAGTTAGGCTATGTTGACACTGTTGCCCCATTTGGATTTTTCGCTAAATCTAATAATTTTATGTCGTCGTTCAAATTACAAAAACAAATGCGACTATGAATGTGAACGAAACGCTTCCATGATGAGACACGCCTGCGCCCCGAGCATGATGTCAAGTGACACGCACAAAAGTCGATGTCCTGCAACAGTGTTTACGGAGGTAAATATGGTCCAGTGTGTAGGGGCTCATCTTTTTATCATCCTATATTAGCAGAGGAGCAATGTGGGAGGAAGTAGAAATATTTGGGGGAAATTAAGTGACGCTTTTCAATCTCTTCATTTAACGGAGACATAATAAAGATAATGTCACATCATGGAGACATCTACTAAAGATGGTGTCACGTCATCGTTTGCGTGACTGAATTCCATCACCACAAACGTCCACTCTACGTTTCATTTTTCAAGTGGGATTGAATTAAAGTCAAATGGAAAGTCAACTCTCTAACTCAAAACAACACAGATTCATAGACAATTATCGTCAGTAGTCTCCCTCTCCAGTCAAAGCAATAAATAAATAAAAATAATAATCATAAAGACAGCTTGTATTGTATGTCGGGTCACTCGTATACAAGGCACCACTTTAACTTGGCCGTTGTACCTTTGCGCATGTTGTGGTCTGGGCCTCTTGTGAAGCTTGGCTTTGAGTCATTTCCATCGACGGCTGCTGAACCGCAGGCTCCTCATCTTTGGTCGGTGCTTCCTTGAACTCCTCTTTGGTGTCTATGTTTTTACTGTGAGGCCACTGGCATTTTCTGCTTCCTCTGACAATCCTTAAAAAATATCGCAAAGAAGAAATTTGGTTAAGGTTAATTAGCACATGTGTGCAATGGATGGACATTAGAAAGAAATGGTCAAATGCGTAATGCTTAAACACAATGACGACAGCAATTGCAATTGCAAAATCAAGTGAGGATTAATGATGAAATAAACGTTTGGTTAACAGCGCAGTACACAGAAGCAGTATCGAACATCAATCCATTTTCTAGGCTGCTTACCTTTGTGTGAGTCGTAGATGAGCTGGAGCCTTTATCAGTGAAAGAGGCAGGTCACCAGTGAATGAAAAAGGTCTACATAGTCCTGTCCAAATGCCAGGTTTTTGTAATACAAAGAAAATCTTTCAAAACTTTTTGCATCATTCATGTAAGCTATAACCTCTTCAATTAATTTTCTTTTAAATCTTGAAAAGAGGGACACAAACCTCAGCAATTGAGCTGAAGTGGTGGCACAAGTGCGCAGATCACCTTCACACTGGTGATGGGCTGTGTTCAAAATTAACCGGTGACATTCAAACTCTTGTTAAATGTGAGTCTGTGCAGAACTACCACCAATTAAAGTGAATCTGATAACTCCAAACCAAAGTTCCCATGTTCTAGTGGGCTTTTCCCCAACATTTTTCGAGCCACAGTCACACAGAACCTCCACCGCATCAGAGGGATCTCATTGCTAAATGGTAACAGAAGAATGGTAAAAAAGTATTTCCAGGGCAACAGATTTACCATGGGATCGTCAACACAGTCAATTAGAGAAAATATGGCACAACAGTGACATTACGAAGAACTTGACATCTCTCCGATCTCGATGAAAAGACCAGAAGAAAAGAAAACTGCAAAGGGAGGCTGCCAAGAGACCGACAGCAACATTGAAGGAACTGCAGAAACTGCTGGCAAGGACATGCTGTTTAGTACATGTGACACCATGTACTAAACATCGTCTTCCGATAAAGAAAACCATCCATTTTCAGCCACATTTTGCCAAAACACGTTTGAAATCTCCTGAACGCATAAGGGTTTTCCCTTTTGTTATGGTCTTATGAAACCAGGGTTGAACTTATCGGCCATAATTCCAAAAGGTATGCTTGGCACAAACACAACACTGCTCATCACCAAAAGAACATCCAACTGTCCCTACAGTGATGCATGCCGGTGGCTGCATCATGAACAGGGGCTGGTTTTCTGCAGCTGGAACCAGGAAATTAGTCAAAGAGGAGGGAATTATGAACAGTTAGCACAGGGCCTTCATTCAATAGCACAAAAAAAATAAATAAAAAGGAGTCTGTAAGTCACAGAGAACGTTATTCATGGTTATTTAGAGGTATTTAAATAGTGGCAGGTGTGTGCTGACTCCCATTGAATGTGAGTTTGAACGTGAGCGGTCAATTATCAACACAAACAACCAAAGTACAGTATATCCATTGTCTACTATATAAATCAGCATGTATTGTATTGTATTCTAATTTCCCCCCTCCAAAATGTTTATTTCTTCTTCTTTTTCTTTTTGTTTTACTTGAGATGCATTGTTACAGGTCACATTACTAATATAAAAGCATTTCAGTTTCAGAAAATGTATCTAACTGCGACCCTGTTGAGGATAAACGGTGTTGAAAATGGATGGTTGATGGAAAACGTATTTCTATGTGTGGTGCAAGCAAGGTGAATAAATGGTATATCTTGGTGTGACTTTATACATAAAAAAATGAGCATTTGGACCGGGGTGTGAAGACTTTTTATTGGACTATTCAAAGCAGTGATTCTCCAAGTGTGGTACGAGTAGCACTAGAGGTAATCGAATCATTTCATGTTTTTCTTTTCCTTTATTTAAGGCCATTGGTAATGTTAAAACAGTGCACAATGTTACTGTGGCTTACACTGATATGAAATATACATTTTAGAAATAAGATCACTACCTGTTTTCTTTCTTTTTTTTAAATGAAGACTTAGGCCTTCTACATGACTGACCGCATTTTTATTTTGGTCAGTAGAGTGGGACTAGGAAATGCAATACTTTTTTTTTAGGACGTACTTTATGTGAACATTTTTGACAACGATTGATTTAGTGTCTTCACTGAATCGAACACGCATATTTTTAGAATGTAGAAGGAAAGTGGACCGTGAATCGAACCCTGAATCTCGAGCTGTGAGGCAGACGTGCTAACCAAACGGTGGACCATGCTGCCAGCCTCAAACAATGTACACCGTAGTTATGGAGATGCTTTGACATCAGTGTTAAAACATTTCTTTCATGCTTACACACTACAACAATTTCTGTGCGTGCGTCGTTTAAAAAAATCATTAACGAATGAGGTGGACAATCTGTACTTAGCAAAGGTAAAATTGAGAGTTTGTGAGAATGTACATAACAACGGATTTGTTATGCTGTAACAACTGTTAACTCACAGCTCAAACGTTGCAAATAGAACGTCAACACGGTTACCAGCAGTCAGCGTGTAAATCAAGCTAAAAAAGTTGCGAAATAAAGAAGCGGGATTTCTCTTGCCTTCTGCTTTGGTACTTGGGGCGCGGGCTGCTCTTCACGTTTGCAAACACTGAAGGCACAAAGTCAGGATTGTCTTGATCCATGGACGCTTGTCCTGCAAACGCACGCGCGTTCTGTAAACATCCTTCGCGACTTTTCAGGCGACAAACGAGCAAGAAAGTCAACCAAAAGAATAAAAACGAACCGAATTGAGCATTACCTGATATGAAATGAGCGCCACAAACGCGAGCATTTTCTTTGAGCTCCTCCGCGCTGCCATTCACTTGTCGGAGCACTTTGAGCCACAAACGCCGCCGGTTGGCCTGAAACGGTCGGTATTCCGTTGGCAATCTGAAGAATTTCAGTTTGCCACCGGAAGAATGGCTATTTGGACAACCCAGCACGCAACAAGCGTACATTTTACTTGAAATGCACATTAGCTTCGGATCAGGAAGTATGTAGTGGAAGTGCCTTGTCGGCTTCCGTTGCCGGCAGCGCGCGTTTCCACCGGAAGTTAGCGTCGGCTAATGTTAGCTTGGAGAGAAACGACTAAAACGAATATTTGCAGTAATGTGATTCTATTTTGTCAAGACAATCACAACGTTGTGACGATAAGTCATTGTATGTTACGACAACTAAATAAAATACCCCACCGTAGCCGCATGTGAAACAATGCTCTGCGCCAGGCCTCCTCGGGTGGAAGTATTAGTTTTGTTTTTTTCCCCCTAGCACACCGGCATAACGTGATATACACCCACAATGAATTCAATTTGGAGCAGAACTGGCAAAAGTAGGAGTGATTTTAGACCCCCATGGGGACCACCAAAAAGCAAAGACATTGTCGATGGATAGGCATATGCAGTATAAATATGTGTGGGAATCACCCAATTTATGTCACATTTGGCAGAAGCATTGAAAAATGTGTACCGTAATTCAGATTATTTTAAGTATTTGGAAATTGATTTTACTCACCAGAGGAGCGTTTGTCAAGTCTAAATTAGGGAAATGTTTTCAGAGATTTCTAATGCACATACTTGGTCGAGAGGGAAATTTCAAAGTGATGGCTAAACTAAGATATGTTGTATGACGTTAGTGGTGGTGGAAAGACAGTGGTCTGCAACCTGCGGGTCTCTATGACTTTGGAAAATAAATAACATGTGTTTAACTTTCAATTGTTATTGTTTATTTTTCAAATGCAATTTAAATTTTGAAGATTATGGGGCTTTTGCCCATAAAAAGAGAGAGATTTTTAAATGTTTACGTTTTTTGGTTGTTGCTAAAATGTGTCGATGTGCAACGCCTGGCACCATAAATTGCAGAATAGAAAAGTTTCTAGAGAAAACACTAAATGTTTGATGCTGCATGCAACATCAACTACAGGGTGTCCATGAAGTCTCTTTCCAATTTATAAACATGATTATAAAGTCGGTTGATGGCATTTCTTCATCAGACTTGTTTTATTTTAATCAGTGTTTATTAAACTTTTTATTCACATTAAAATTTTGTGTTTCAGGTACTCTGTTGATGTTGATAGAAGGGAAACTGAAGCCCTATAAAATGGCTTCTCTTCAAGAAAACTCATGACATGTACCCTGTTTTAGTGAGAAAAATTCGGATGTTTATTAAATCAAACTACAGAACTAAGTATGGAAGAGATCCACCGTCTCGTCCTTTAATTCGTGCATGGCACAAGAAATTTATGAAGACAGGGAGAGTGTTGGATAAAGGGAGTTAAAATATTTCAACTACTGCCTTTGAATAAATTGTTTTAATTGTGAAGAAACTTTATGAGTACCCTGTGTATTGAAAATAAACATCAATAATGCTTCACACATGACAGCTTACATTTGTGTATGAAAATAAAGGTGATGTCTACAGCCCTGATCCGCAGACGCTGCATCTTGAGGTCCAGGAGCAAAATAATAATAATGATAATAAAACACAAAAAAAAAAAAAAAAAAAAAAAACCCAGACACTATTAGAGGTACCGAGGACTTTTCCGTTGCCGGTCCCTCTCTTTGGAATGATCTCCCGCTGAACGTTTGGCAAGCCCCTCGGTGCCCATCTTTAAAACTCGTCTTGAAACTAATTTTTATTCTTTAGTTTTGGACTCAGGATGAGACTTGCTTTTAGTTTGACTCTTTTTGAGATTTCCACTGTCTTCGTTATTAATTGATCTTTTTGTTTGTTGTTGTATGAATTATTTTTGCACAGCACTTTGGTGGTTGTTTTAAAGTGTTCTATAAATACAGCTGAGTTGTCAAAGGCATCAGAAAAACATCAAGGGCACATGAAACCAAAAATTCTCTTTCAATCCAAGGCTCCATTCAGTGTCTGTACGTAACCAGTAGAGGACGCTACTGCTCAGTGTTAAGATTCTCAATGGTCTCTAAATCGAGCAAGGCAAAGTTGATGAACGGGATTTTTTATTTTATTTTTTTAACTATGTCTTATTACCCCGCATTAAAATTATTTATCTGTTCTTCTTTGCCACTTTCTATCAAATATCTCTGTCTCAGTGGGGCTCAAAACTCAGCCAGGCCAAGTTAAGCTTTTTATGATGTCAACAAACAAGCAAAAAAAAAAAAAAAAAAACACATGCAGTTATATTCAAATTTTGGTTGTGATTGTTTTTTTTTGTTTTTTTTTTTTTGTCAATACAGTTGTGGCTTTCACAAGAATGTACTATTTGATGGATTCCAAACCTATTTGTGAACACATATGACAGAGCACTCTAAGATGGAGTTGCTGTTTCCTCCTACCTCAAGGTGACACCTCCATCTGCACCTCCTTTGGTGTTGCCAAGCCCCCCTTTTTTCCTGCTACGCAATGAGGGGTCTGAAGCTTCTCCGCCTCAATCCCACATGTGGTTTGTGAGCAACGCACATCAATCTCTGCTCTCGGCGTGATGTAGATTGGGACGAATGAACCTGACTGATATGAAATAAGATACTGGCTGCATAGCATGACAATTTGCTCACTCGTTCATCTTGTTGTTTTTGCTGTTGGAGGATGCTGGTTACATTCGAGTGCTCTGAGTCCCCATCTCAATTATGCTTTTCCTCACCCCGAGACTTTTGGGTGGTACAAAATAAGAACAAGAGGGTGATGGACTACATGAAAAATTGGGGCAGCAAGATTGTACGAATGGGCCATATTAGCTTCCCATATTGCCGGACGTTTTACTGAAATTTCAAGAGAGTAGAATCTCTTTTTTGCACTAGAAAACCTTTTTTTTCTCGCATTTTCCTTTAGTAATCAGCAGTACATTATGGTTTCACCTAAAACCATCGGGTTCTGACCCAAAAACCAAGAAAATGAGCTTTTTGTGAAAATAATTATACTTAGCACAACAGTGAATTTTAAGCTAATATGTTTTGTATTTCTGACACTTCTTCTTCTTCTCCTTTCGGCACGTCCCTATTCAGGGGTCGCCACAGCGAGTCAGTAATTTCCATCCGCCCCTGTAAACCGTCCTACCAACTCGCATAGTC